TCGTCCTCCTCTCTCTCTCTCTCTCTCTCTCTCTCTCTCTCTCTCTCTCTCACCAGTTACCCGCTTTTCTTCTCTTTCCTTCTTTTCTATTAGATGGTCGCTGCTTTTATCGGCCGTCCTCTTTCCCGCCCGTGTTATCTCGTCGGACCACGCTCCTCGACTTTGCTGAAACTGCCCTTCCGGAGGGCATAGAATTTTTTGGCCCAGCATTCACGACGGATCGAATTTGAATGCGTGTGAGAAGCGAAAGGGGGTCACGCTTTCGTTTCTCCTGAAAGAAACACGGCGAACAACCGGGTGAAAACAGCTGCTGCCGGCAGCCTGACTTTCTCGTATAGAATGAGGTAAAAAATGAGATAAAAAAAGTAACGCTTGCTACAATTTGTCATTAAACTTCATTTTAAATTTAATTTCCATCTTTTCAGCGCTTGCATAAATTCGCAGACCGTCGCGTGACAAATTCATTTGTTTTTTGCGTGAGATGAGAGCAGAATAGAAGCGCGCGACATAGACGAATTACCGGCATTAAAAGCACGGAATTACCGTGCCTGTGTTGCTATTTTGATACGATAAATCGTCTCAGAGCGAGTATCGTATACGGATAAAGACGCCACGCGATTTTTTCAAATATTATCCGACGAGCACAAGACACACGTCTTTCCTTCCTTTCTCTATCCCCCGTAAATACTCGTGCACACGAAGAAAAGGAAAAACGCTCTACACTCGCAGCGCCGGTTATTTATGTTCACACCTACGGGATCTACACATAAGTAGAAGCTCAAAGCTCGACTTTAAGTTGAAGCACCGGCTTTAAGCGGAGTAGTGATGTAAAGAAGGAAAAAAGAGGCAAAGAAGCCCGAGTGATATCTCACAATCGTCCCGTTATGCGAGGCATCGTTCGTGAATTTACAACGAGTGCAGATATCATTGAGGACGTGACGGTATGTCGAAGATGACGTTCGCACATTTCAAGTAATCTCGAGCACTGTATTTTCTAATGCACAAACGTTTCCACCGCGAGCAAAACGCATCGGGTTAAATTTAAATACACTCCGTCCAATTTTCTACAAAAATATCATATTTACATATTTTCACGCTTTAGAAAGAAAAAAATTGCTCGCTTTTAAGCATGGAAATTACATGTAAATATATTTTCCAGAATGTAACAACAAAATCTATTATTCTCCTTGCACTTTGAGGTCGCGGAATAACGTTGCCTCACATAATGACATACACGGGAATGACATACGCGAGGAACAAAGAAGATTATTATTTCGCTGAAATTCAAATGTACTGGAGTGCTATGTCGCTCCGATACGACGCAGGTTTACTACAAGATACTTTATAATGTAATTTTATTATATCATTGGTAGTAAAGGCGAGTTAACTGCCCGTAATTTCGATGCAGTACGGCGCCCGGTGTCTTTCCCAGGCGTTATGCACTACCGCCATCGAACTATGAATTTTAAAAGCAACCCTCCATCCCCTTTTTCTTCTGCCTGTCGTTTACATCTAGCGAACCGAGCGAAATCGAATACGAGAGCCGGGAAATAATAGGAACCGCCTTGGGCTCAGGCAAATTTGACTTGCATCGAAAAACGTTCATCGAACTGCCAACGAACCGGCGTAATTTTTTTGCGAAACAGCGGAAAACGACAGAGAATTAATCTATTCGTGTGGGCGATTTGATTGCGACTCTCAGACTCCGCGAGTCTGACTCTCGTGTGTTCGTTCCACTTACGAACAATGTCATCGCGGAAAAATTGATCGTAAAAATACTTAAAGTTATAATTCAAAAGTTAGTTTATTAAAAAGGTTTAAAATATTTAAAATCGTACAAAAATAAATCGGTAGGATCCGATTTTAAATTTTTAAAATTTAAATATCGCTTTCTCTAAGTTAATTAAAGAAAACGAGTTGCCTTCGAGTTAATTAACAGAACAAGACAATAGAAAAAGTTTAACAAAATTCTCAGAGCATCTCGTACAAGAGAAAAAAGTAACATGACGACTTGAACATAATGCAGGAAGACTTTGGAGCGGTGAGATTATGGCCGAATTCATAATGCAACAGCAATTTAATGTTTCGTATACACAGACACAAATCGGCGAATCTAACTTGTACACAACAGTGGCGGCTCGGTGCTAAAATTTGCACGTGGCGAGTACGTTCGAGTAAATTTGCGAGCATGCAACCCCAGTTATGAATTTCATGTCTATCGGCTTAATTAAAGCGATGTTGTATGCTGGGTCCGTGTACCCCGCATACAATGATGAATGGCATGTTTTCGAAAGAAATATAGGAGGGAGAAAGAGAAATCAAAAGGCAAAGAGAAAGAGAGCCCGGTTTATGCTCGCATAAAACCACATATATATATACGTACACGTTCGCGCGAGATGCAATTGTAAAAACCGTCCGTTATTACCGATTCTTGCGCGGCGCAGTCGCCAGGCTACAAGGAAACACCGGAGCGAGATAATGAAACTGATGGCGAAGTTCTGTTCGCCGGAACTTCTCGTGAAATTATCGTAAAGATGATGAATCGCCCCGAAGCCGTATAAAAATTTGAGTAGCATCAAGCTGCATATTGCGCCGAGCAATTCAAATAAAAGTTTCGACTTTCCGTAGCTTTTATTCCCACTTCCGTACACAAACAGTGGAGCGACTTAATAACTCGATTTGAACTCTGATTCCTAAGTCCCTTCTATTTATGACAGAGGACTTCTGTGTAAACCACTTTGTTAAAAGGGAAAAAAAAAAAAAAAATGTCGAGTCTCTTGCGTTTCTCTGAACTGACATTTTTATTTGAACGGGATTTTTTTTGCGGAAATTCGTCGTAAGTCATCGAAACCGTAAGGCAGGAAGAGAGAGAGAGAGAGAGAGAGAGAGAGAGAGAGAGTACGTTAGTTAATTTTTATT